AAAACAGACTGAAAGAGAACGAGTATGAGACAGAGATAGAAAAAAGAAAAAGAGACAGAAAGCACGTTATAAGCTCTAAATTCTAAAATATTTAAAAAAGCAATTTATTAATGCAAGAAATTGTTGATTATATAATAATTTAATTAATTAATTACATAACATAATTAAAATCCTCCTCTCCCTCTGAAAGAAGTTCTAGATACGCCTATTGTCACATTTTTTTTTTCATTTTAATTACGAATATTAATACAAATCTGCTATTACTTACCTCGGAGAGATGTAATCGTGTTCCGCGTACTCTAGGGCCATCATCGGGAGGTGTGAGCAAAGCTACAGAAGTGACAATAAGAGCTAGGACTGCGACGATCACGAGTAACGCTATTAAAATCCCACGCCAATTCCTTTGATTTGGATTGGTTGAAACTAGCTCCTATCACAAAGGTCTTTACTAACGCTAATGTCAAAAATGATCGAATTATCATATGCCATGTATTTATTATTGCTACTTTTCATAGTTTGGAGTAATACTATATGAAAAATACTGTCAATGTCATTGTTAAAAATAAACGTAAATTTCCATTTTATGATGACAATGTCATTCATTAAATATTAAAGAATTCAGGGAAATGTATTTATTCTATCATCTGTATTTAATATTCTGTAATTTAATTTGGCATCTAGAATATATCACACTTTTTAAAATTTAGATAATATTAAAATTTGTTTGCTTCGAAAATAAAATGCTTAAATAAGGATAAATCTAAAAAATTCGATATGAGTCAAAATTAAAATTAATAAAACATTTTTAATATATTTTTTGATATTCTTTTGCGCATAGATGATAAGAAATGATTATAAATGAGCAGTTTATATTATTAATAGAATATTAAAAGTTATATAAACAACGATCACGATATAAATTGACGAAATTATATTTTTATAGATACATCCATTACATCTTCTTACGATATTTGAAGTATTAAAGTTCTTAATACTCTATATAATATTAATATATTGTGTGTAAGCAAAATAGTCAATTATAGGAGCTTTATGGTGAGAGTAACTAGTCAGCTGCTGTAAAATCAATAAGCGAGGAAAGCGACGTACTGCGCTGCGTACGTCAATGTGTTAAGAGA